CAATTATTCTTTTAATCATTTTTTATGTTTCCTTTCTTATTATTATCAATTTTGTATTAAAGAATAATTTTACAAAGGAAAGGAACATATATGGACATATTTTGCATATAATTATATATAATTATATATGGAACTTTTTTTCTCGGGACTCTGCATGCTTTAGAATATAAAGTCCAAGCAATTCTTTCAATTATTTCTGTTTTACAAGAAAATTTCTTTTACATGCGAAAGAATGTAAAAGATTTCTTCTTAGAAGCAAATGCAGATATTAGCACAGTCTGATACACTGGAGCTCTAGATTCTGTTACCAGCAAATGATCACAGAGGCAAGCGTCGGCAGATGAACGAGCAATGATAAAAGTCACGTGTTACCAGTTCTGGTTTATCAGGAATTTGAATGTGAGCGTACATAAAGCAGTTTCCCATCTGATTATAAATATTGTTATTTTGTAATATGATACATGTATGCATAAACAAAAAAAAACTGATGAGTAGTGGAAAATCTTTAAAAATACTGGTAATTCAAGTTTGAATTGCGTCAATTGTAATTGTAAAATTAAAGTCAAGATAAATTCATGCTTATTATCTCGCTTATCATAGCGTCTATTGCTTTCAAAGCCGCAGAGATTATCAAAAATCTGTATAAAAGAATCTAATATTTTTCCCGATACATTTGGAATATATTTGTAACAGACGTTTTACATTATTTTAAACTTTCTGGCTAATGTGGAGCAAAACGCGACGGCTACCCATCGAGTTCTGCGTGCTCTTCGTCTACCTCGAACGTTCTCCGAGAACCCGCTCTACGTCGAACGTCGCCAGCGTTGGTCTTCGATTCTTCAAGGGAGACCGCGCGATACCGCCGACGAGCGTCAGAGCGAGACATCGATGTCACCCGCGCCGCGGGCCGACGAAGGTGGGCGTCGAGGTCGCCGGAGAGGGGCGCGCAATCTAAACCCGATAACGAGCCAGCTGGTGGCGGCAGTGCCGTCGTTTACGTGGAGGTACGATCTTCGCGAGAGTCCGCTCTCGCTGGTGGGGCCCGTGCCGGATCGCTCCTGGCAGGTCGCAGCTTGTCCTGGGGAAATAAATCGCGGCGCGAACTGGTACCACTCGCGCGGGCACGGAGAACACGGACAGTAGGTGTCCGCGTATCCCGAGGAACGAGCCGAAGAGTGGCGAAACGAGAAGGGTGGGAAACGACGAGGTAGGGCGGGAAGAAAAAAAAAAGAAAAACAAACATGCCGTGAACCCCGTCAGGTGACAATGCGTACGACCCGACGAAGTCGACGATGCTCATAGCGCGTGCCGCTTTCGATCGCATGCGACCAACGCCGTAGACACTTCGTCGTCATCGCCGTCGTCATCGTCTTTGCCGCGCGCGTGTGCATGTGTACGGTGTGTAGTGGTACGCGCGTGTGATCGTGTTGTACCTGACCCGTGTGTGGTACCTCCCCCTGACCCAGCTTCTACCTGATCCAGGCGCCCGACACCAGGACCGATCGCGATGACTACGAGGGAGCTTTACGTTAAGGTACCGCGGGATTAGTTATACCAGGTGTGCGCATCCCCGAGGAAGATGGCAGGTCTCCTCTGACGTAAATAAAATTGCGCGCCGAAGATTCTCGCGCGCCCTCCGTTTCAGTCCCTCGGAAGGGGGATTGACGCTGCGGTTCAAGGGGATGTTTCAGTTCGGCACGATGCGCCGAGCGCGAACAGAGATTTTGATCCTTCGTTCTGAATCCAACTTTCTTCGGATTCTCTCACTCGTCAGATTTTCAGAACTGGAGGCGCGAATAATGAGAAATTATTCATTCGAATCAGGGATGTGTTGCTCCATTTTCTCGACCCTAAAAGTTACGGAGGAATTTTGAAGGTAAATGTGAAATGCGCATGCCTTTTACCTTCAGATGCATTAAACGAAAATAAAATTTAACAATATTAGTATAATAATTTCTAAAATCTTTTGAAAACTTCAACCACTATTTAAGATTGCACATTACCGTGCGCCACTCTAATTTTCATATAAAATTATCTGAATTATTCCGGTATAATAATATCTCGAAGTCTCGCTTGACGTGATTTAACTGTATATACAAGTATAATGACAACCAGGAAACCCATGGAGTTGAAAATGTCTCGGTTATACAATCGGTGGAAGTTGCGGGAACGATGTCGACCACCGCGAGTTTATGATTGCGCGTGCGAAACTGTGATCCGACTCCGTTTTTACGTTGTCGAACATTAAGCGTGCAACACACCTTTGACATTTGGAATGAACGTATCTTTCTCGCGGTGTCACCGGGTATAATTCGCAATCCAGAAGAGCTGTCAACACGTTCCGATTTCACTATTATTTTTTAGAGATATCCGGAAAAGCTAAATCATTCAGGCCTTTCAAGGCGCGAGTCCTCGATTACGCAACGATAAGATCAACGAAGAATTATATAATTAAATACAATGGAGACGTCTGTTACATTCAAATGAGTAAAAAAGAATAACAGAGAAATAGAATCTTCTGTTCAGCCTAGGTCTCTTGTATCGTAGATACTATGACATGTATATTATGTAAATGAATGACCTATATTCGTGACAAGATCGGAAGAGCACACGTCTGAA